GGGGGGGGGGAAGCCCTCAGTTCTCCAGAAAACAGTGTAGCTGTGGAACGGGTGGGCATTTCAGAAAAATCGAAGTGATTTAGGAGCACAGTTCCCATTAAAAGTCACTAGACTTTGTGTTACTGAGGCGCATTTGAAAATCCCCCCAGTGAGAGTGCCAGCGGGTGAGCACGGGGAGAGTCAGGGGTGTATTTGAGTAACAAGCATTTTCAGCTTTCATCCCCCTTGGCATGTGTTCGGGTAGTGGGGCATCATTCAATAGGAAATAACAGGGTGGAGATTTACCACAGACTTTGGAAAGCCGGGGCCCGGGGAGAGTGGAGTACAAGGCCACACGCTGAATGTTTGATGGCGGTTCAGTTCCACTGGAGGGACGTGGATCGTATTTTTCTCTCTTCGCCCAGCCATTATTAGCATTAGTATTTATTTGTATTCCCGTAGCAGACTGCGCGTCCTTTCTCCTTGACTAACATTCCCTTGCAGATTGTGTTTGATGAATGCCACAAAGCCAAAAATGCCAGCTCCACTAAAATGGGCAAAGCAGTGTTGGACCTTCAGAACAAACTGCCTGGAGCTAGGGTCGTCTACGCCAGTGCCACAGGTGAGAGTCTGTCCCATGTCATTCCCAAGACCCCAGGTATAAACATGCAGCAGCTGCCCAATGCTCCAGTCTTCCCCACGCGGAAGATGTCCATAGCCCAGGTTAACTGCTATGGGGCTGTTACAAAAAACACACGTTGTAAAATTCAATTTTAAACAGCAGAAATGGACGCTCCTAGAGGGGGTGATGAAGCATCAGATGCTCTAATCCCGTGTTTCATCTTAACGCAAAGGACGGCAAAGCAGGACTCCTAGATTCTGTTCCCAACTCTGCCACTGATCTGCCATGTGATCTTTGGGCAAGTCACTTTAACTTCCCTCTGCCTGTTTATTCATCTGTATAGTAACGCTGACCTGATGGGTGTATTGTGAGGATTAGCGTTTGTAAAGCTCCCTGAAGCCTCTGCTGAAAGGCACTGTGGAAGTGTGAGGAATAACCCTCCTTTTTAAAATGCTTACATATGTTTCTAAGCTCTCCAGAGTGAGGGTTCACTTGAAGCCTGCTGCCCGTCACTTGAAGAGGTTGCCTGAGGCAAAACTATTTATAGTTGTGTCTTTGCTAATAGCACATTCTCTTCATACAGGTGCCTCTGAGCCAAAAAACATGATTTACATGAGCCGGCTAGGGATCTGGGGGGAGGGAACCCCTTTCAGAGCGTTTGATGAATTCCTCCATGCAATTGAAAAGAGGTAGGTCATGGGAGACCTTTCTGGTTTTCCCTTCCACTAATCCTGTATTTGGCAACAGCCTTCATTTGGGTTGGGGAAAAACCACTGGCTTTGAACCAGTAGCTCACTGGCTGTGTCGTTTCAGCTCCCTTGTGATATGCAGTGTATCTGGCTAATACATTCCAAGCCATCCCACAAATCTTACAGCGAAGGCTTTGTCCCTATTTCATGACGGGTGTTAAATGCTACAGTAACTGCCAATATCTCTGCAGAATAAAAGGAAAAATTATTTTTTATTGGGCCAGGCAGTGAGGAAAGCAATGCAGTGTGATGGTTAGCAGAGGGGATTTACAGTCAGGCCCCTGACACTGTTTCTGTTTCTGTCACAGACTCCGTAGGGTGTGGGAAAACAGAAAGGTGAAGTGACTCACCCACCTGTGAAATGGGGATAAGGCCTGCTATGTAAATGCCAGGATTGTGTGGTCCAGTCTATTATGATTTGAAGACCACTTAAGCAAGATGCCAAAGCAAAACCTCCAAGAGGTTCTGAATCTCCAGACAAGCCTACTCCATACGGCCACTGTGCAGGGGAAAGGGATTTCATAACTGGCTGTCTCTCTTTCCTCCCCCTTCCTCCCTTTCTGCGTAGGGGTGTTGGTGCAATGGAAATTGTGGCTATGGACATGAAAGTGAGCGGAATGTACATTGCCAGGCAGCTCAGTTTCTCTGGAGTCACTTTCAAGATAGAGGAAATCCCACTGGATCGGCAGTACGAGCTTGTCTACAACAAAGCAGCGCAGCTGGTGAGCTAGTGTTTCTCTGTAGATCCCCAGCATCCCGCATTCCTCCCCAGAGAGCTACTGTCTAATCCTGTGTTTTGTTTTTGGGGCGGCGGAGGGGGGGTTGTGAAGAGGAATATTTTACTCAAGAAGTTGAATCCATTTAACTATGGCCTCCTGCTTCATTAACAAGAGCATGGGGCTCATTCAGTCATTTGATCAGCTCAGTTGACATTGTGACAGAGGACTTGTTGGCGTGGATTGATTTTCTGGTGGGCTTGTATGCAAGATGGGGGTGGGGGGGGGTCTGCTTTTGCTGTTGTCTGTATATATGAAATATATATGTGTGTGTACGACCAGGTCTTCAGATGGATGAGAACGGATGACTCTTTATTTTTTACTATGATTTTTGAACAACTTTCTAGTGTGTTTCAAACGTTAGGTGCTGAATACTGGTAGAGTCTCATTAGTATTCATTATCGTTTGTATTGTGGTAGCCCCTAAGAGCTGAAGTCATGGGCCAGGATCACTTTGTGCTAGGTGCTGTAGAGATGCAGAACAGAGTTTAATCCTACTCCTTAATCAGCACATGGGAGGATGTAAGGGGACATTAGAATAGCTGCAACCCAACATTTAGGTTTGATTTTTTTTTAAAAAGAATGGGTGGTGTTAGCTTATAACATTTAAAGAAATATTTCAGTGGCTGCTGCTGCTTCTTTCATGTCATTGTAAACGGCCTTTGCTTGGATTTAACAATTCCCTTGCAGTGTTTGCAACCCAGACATTGCAGCGTTGGGTTGAGGCAGAAGGTGGAAATTGACCGTCTTTTCATTGTCCTAGCTAAATGAAGCACAAGTAAACAAAGAGCATAAATAGGGAAAATAAATTTGATATTCAAAGCCCTGATCGTTTTAATAACCTTATGTGTTACGGTGACCTGAGTTAGGGACTGGAGTATCAACCTGGCCCTCTTGTGTGTGCTTTCAGTGGGCAGAGGCGATGGTGGTGTTCCAGCAAGCGGCTGACTTTATTGGCTTGGAGTCTCGAAAGTCCTTGTGGGGTCAGTTCTGGTCAGCTCATCAGCGCTTCTTCAAATATCTCTGCATTGCTGCTAAAGTCCGACGCCTCGTTGAGCTTGCCAAGGAGGAGCTGGCAAAGGACAAGGTACGGTATTAGAAACCAGGTGCAAAGGGTCAATAAGCGTTAGTCCAACGACATCCGTTATGCGTGGGCATTCAGGTGAATCATCGCTGGGGATAGTCATCTTTGACGCCTGGTGTCTTTCTGCAGAATAAAACCACTTTGAATGTTGAGGCCCAGACATGCGTTGTAGAGAACACAACCTCTGTACAAACTGAGGAGGGTTGGGTAAAAGATTGGAATGAGGGTATTTTCATGCACTTGGACACTAGTCTGTGATTGTGTGCAGTGAAAAGGCAGCATATATCTTCTTATATCCTCGACCTAAAGGCATCTAGCCTCCATAGGTGAAACCAGGATTTCAAGTGTTTAATTTCCCATAGTTCAGAATGAATGTTCATGTTTACCATAAAACAGCGCCAAGAAACATCAGCAAACGTACTTGAAACAGCATTCTGAGACGAGTTAGAGTTGAACGATGTCCTGGATTCTCCAACTCTGCATGGTTAAATACACTTGGCATTGCATTCATTTGCTGGGGAAATCAGTTAGTTGTAATGATAAAGCATCATAACAATGTTTCTTAACATCGTGGCTGCGTGTATAACCTCACTCAGAGGTTATACTCACTCAGGCACTCAGAGACAGAGGCTACAGCGGGAGCCCAGTTTTAGAGCCAAGATATTACTGTGTGTATCTGGGAGGAGTTGGGGTTGAATTTAGAAGGTGCTGGCAAACCGTGAAACGTAATCTCTTCTGGAGCTGATAATGGTTTGCTGAGTGTTGATGCCCAGCAAAATGTAGCATGACCTCATCTCGCTAACACACGGCCATGCTGCCCTTTTGATTTCTCCCCAGTGTATTGTCATCGGGCTCCAGTCCACTGGCGAAGCTCGCACCAGGGAGGTCTTGGACGAGAATGACGGGCACCTAAACTGTTTTGTCTCCGCTGCAGAGTGAGTTTAACCCCCTTGTGCTTTGAAGGGCAGGAATCCGGGGAGGCTCAAAGGCACAGTGAAGCGGGCTCTGTACCAGGGCTGCTTGCACTTTGTGGTCCTGTGAGTGCAATTCCTCGAATCCTAAATGAGCTTCACATACAGAGGACACTGTTTTAAGACACTGTTTCCAAAAGTGACTTGATGTGCTAAGAGCCTTGAAATCTGAGTGCAGTGGCCTTTCCTGCTCTTCCACATGCAGCTTTAGTAATGGCGTGTGCACGAGGACAGCCAGATGTGCAATAGCCTGCTTCGTGCACCCAGATGCAGGTTTGCGTGGGCACAACAGACGCACCCGCATTTCTGTGGGAACTTCCATCTCACCCACTCTGAAAAATGCAACCCTCAAAACTGTGAAAAGAGGAAAACTATTTTTAAAGGTACAGGATTAAAAACAAGTGAGCACGATAATCTGATTCAGAGACAGATCTTGAGAACTTACAGACGTGCTGGAAGGTGAGATGGCACCCCAGGATTTTGGACTATCTCTTTTTGTCCCACCAGAAATCCCGGTTTCAAGAATGTTGTCTTTCAGCATCAGTCCAAAGCAGAACATAGCATTAGATTGCCTTGTCCCAGTAATGCACTAGTTTGTGGTGGTTTGGTTTATGTATTTCTACATCAGTTAATCTGAGAGCTGACTGTACCCAGTGCCCAGTCAGCTGTGGACGATGAGGAACATCTTAAAAAGCACTGAGTCCCATTTTCCAAAGTATCCTGGGCACTGTAGGAGCCTAAATCCTTGGCTTTCAATGAAACTTAGGCACCTAACTCACTTAGGTGCTTTTGAAGATGATCCCCTATTCCATGAACCCAGCTGCCCCTGCACATCAGGTGGCAGGAAGCCAAACTGCCTGACTGGGTTAAGACCCAGGTGAGTTACGTTTCCTTAGGGCCGGTGCAATCAGCAGGCTGCTGTTAGATTATTTTTGTTTGCATCCGTTTTTATTGCTGATGAAAACAACTGGAGCAAGCTAGACTTGGTGTGAGCTATCCAAGTGCCAAGCATCCCTGCTCTTCCAGGGTATCTCAGTTTTGGCCTATGCCACGCCAGGGGCACCGGTCCAGATATGATCCCACTCCCCCAGAGCAAATACTCGCTTGTTAACTGCTGTAGAATTGAAGCAAGTCAGGCTCCAACAGCTAAGTTGATTTCTGATCTGAATTGGACATCTGCCTGACACAGGCCAGAAGAGGTCGTAGTAGAGCTGGGGGTCGGGACCCCTCAGGGGGTCGCGAGGTTATTACATGGGGGATTGCGAGCTGTCAGCCTCCACCCTAAACCCCGCTTTGCCTCCAGCATTTATAAGGTGTTAAATATATAAAAAAGTGTTTTTCATTTATAAGAGGGGTCGCACTCAGAGACTTGCTATGTGAAAGGGGTCACCAGTACAAACATTTGAGAACCACTGTAGTAGAGGATCCTAGTGGTCCCTCGTGACTCCTTGTTCAAAGGTGGTGCTGTTAGTGACCACTTGTGCTGGCCAGCTCTGTCCCCCTCCTGCGGGGCAGGTGTTCACTTGCTGGGCAGTACCATCTCCTAATGTGCCTGCTTCACGGTGTCCGATTGCAACTTCCTGGTTCTGAAGCCCTTCAGCAATAGGGGGGTGCTCTTAGGGGAGTGTGTTTGCAATGGAGCAGTTGCTGACAAAACAAGAAGGGAAGGACTGCTTGCTGTTTGTGCAGGGGAGTCTAGAAAACTTTGTTAATGGGGTTCCAGTGGAGGAGAAGGAGAAAACACAGATGGTCAGGAGAATAGCAAGCTGGATTTCATGGCAAGGAGACTCAGAACCTGAATCCTGGCTTAAAGGAAGCAAAGTGACCGTCAGCCTTCTCTGGGTCTCAGCTCTGTACCCAGAGCCAGTCCAGCACTGAGGGCAAAGGGCCTTTCCAGTACCGCATAATAGGTATTGTTTAACTCCCACTCTGGTCTGAGAGCCCCTCCTCTATTCCCCAAATACCCCGTCTCACAGCAGGTGGGAATCATGCCCATACCTCTCAGCTGTTGCTTTCAACATTTGTTTCAGCCCAAGCTCATTTAGCGCTGCCTCCTCATTGCACATGGGCCCAGTCCCTCCCAATCCAGCCAGCATTGAAGCATTTACTCTTTCGTTTGCAGTACAGCCCACAAAAGCATCCATTTGATTTCCACCTCTTCTGATTTTTCCATCCACCTAGACCCACAGTGTGTTCCATGTTTTGTCACTGGCCTTTACCTTGCGGGCAAGTAGTTCTGCTTTAGGTTAATCAAAGCACGTTCGTTAGACAGCCGTGACCCAGAGTCTCCGCCATTCCAGGCAGGTCAGTTACATGGCGCAGGGTTGGAACCGCTAGCCCACATAACACCCAGAGAAGATGTTGGATGTTGGAACGTACTGGATTTTGCAGTAACAACTTCCAAACATAGAGAGCGTCACACTTAAACCTTGCTCTCAGTTACCCTGACGTTTGTGCTGTTTTGGCCTGTCCCGTGGCCGCGCGATGCCCGTGGCATTTTGTGTTTATATTGCAACAGCTCCCTGGCACGGCTGGGCTGCCTCCGTTCACCAGGAGCAGCAGGCAGTCTAAAGCAGAGAGCATTTCTCACCACAGCATTCACTCCGTGTGCATGCTGTAAGGCTGAGGTCCTGCTGGAGCGAGCCAAGCTCTCTCGTTTCACTCGCGCTGTTTGCCATCAGAACCCTCTGGTGAAATGCAGCCGCCTCCTCTCCATTCGAGTTGCTGTGATTCCTCAGATCCAAGCTGTACTAATCGATAATTGTTCAGGACTCACTAACAGTTAGAGAATGCTTGGTTTAGCCCATTTTCCCATTAAGTATAACGATCTCTTCAATACCCATTGATACATTATAACCAGTAGATGTTCCTACTCCTGGTAGCTAGAATAAATTTTGCATCTTACTTTCAGAGGCGTCTTTCTATCACTAATTCAGAAGCACTTTCCTTCAACCAAAAGAAAGAGAGAAAAAGGAACTGGCATTAAAAGAAAACGTAAGACCGCCTTCCACCGCCCAACGTCTGACCTCCTGCCTTTCCGCCTCGCCCCAGCTACTCAGCCTTTTCGTCTCCTTTTCCCTTCCCCACTTCATGCTTTGCCTTGGTTTGGGTTTGCCCTCCCTTAGATCCCTTGCTACAGTCTCTCACCCTAGGCATGTCGCTAGTTACAGCTCTCCATGTCATCTTTTCCCCCCGCAACTCACCTCCCTTCCACCAAATCACTTCCTAGCCCCTGGGATTGCCCAGTAGCCATGCCCTTTCCCCCTGCAATGCAGACTGCTAGACTGACAGGCAGATTTTGCTAGACTCCCAGCTGCACATCTGAGGCCCTCTTGCAGCCAAGGGGTTTTTCTCCTCTACCCCTTACATATAGGGTGGCAGGTGCCCTGGAAAATACTCAGTTATCTACCCTATTCCTGGCTGCTGCTGCAGGTAAGAACTGTCTCCTGTACCACCTGTGTTCCCTCTGTGCTGGGTTCCTTTGCAAGCAGGCTGGATCCTAGCTCTCATGCCCATGGCGACATGTGGGAAGTGGGATATGGCAAAGGGGGGAAGAGGAGAGAGTGGTAAAGGCTAATTTACAGAGATTGCCCAGGCAAACTGCTGCCTGAGCACCAACTGCTTGGGTTTCCTGCCAGCTGAGACCAACGGACCTGTAACGTCTTGCATGGCTGGGGCATTTCTCACTGTGCTGGGAATTCAGTCCTGATGCGACTGGTTTTCCTTCCTGAAACACCAATGCACCAGCCCCTCTCTTTGCCTAAAGATTTTCCTTTAGGGATAGCTAAGGCTGTGGGTTCTTCCCCCACAATGGGAGAAGAGGAAAGTAGCTGCAATTCTGCTTTGCTAACACATGGCCAGGTGAGAGCAAGGTGCAGTTTGCACATTGCCATGTGGCCGTCTTCAGCCCTGGTAAAAGACTGGCTCGCTCTTCCTCTCTCTCTTTTTCCCCCATGCCCAAACGTCTGCCTCTCTCTGATCTGCCTTTCGCTTGGGACAACCTTAGCTCCCTATGACCTCTCCTCCATTCTCTGAGCCAGTGCTTGCTGTTCTGTGCTGACCTGCCCCGCGGGCCCTCTCCCCCCCCGCTGATGCGGCTCGCTGTCCCTCACAGGGAAGCAGAAAGGCCGCTGTGCGAAGGCCCTGAAAGGCATGTATGACATGGCGGGCGTGATCAAGATCAGCGACGACAGCAGCACTGATTCGGAGGTGGGGCTGGACAGCGACTTCAACTCCTCCCCGGAGTCCCTGTTCGACAACGACGACGTCATCTTTGTCGAACAAACCTACAACGGCTTCACACCTGAAGACAGAGGTGAGCCAGGCTGGTGCGCTGGGGTTAATTCCTTCCCAGGCCAGGGACAAGCCAGGCATTTGGGGAAGGTCAGGGGACAAGGGTCTGGGCTTATCCTGGTCTCGTACATGTGCAGAATAACATTCCAAATGGATGTAATCCCACGTGGGACAGCGGCGCTGAAATCTGATACAGGCGCTTCTCATGGTGTCTCCCCGGGGACAGTGAGGGTCCTGTTGTGTGGGAGTGGCCATGCTTCCTTGGCAGGGATTGGCCAGCTGTCGCACCCACCAGCTCAGAGCCGGTCCTTGCGTCTCTTTAGGGAGGTTGAGGAAATGGTACCTGCAGACTTCTGACTTCCAGGCTAACGCAGACTTGCTTGGCTATCCTGCACTGCCCAAGTGGGGGAGCCCCCACTCCCGCGTTAAAAGCAAACTGACGTTTGTATAATAGAACGATTGGCTTGTAGCTGATTTATACCTAGTTGTGGTCAGACTTGGGGGGTGGGGTGGAGTGTGGAATACCAGCCTGCGTGAGAGATCTGTCCTGCTACGCACTCATCAACACACGCCCAGCAGCAGTCCTTACTCTCTCAATCAGACCCCTCCTCTCTTGAGCCTCAATCTGGGTCGCTCTATGGTTCTTCTTCACACTGGTCCCAAGCTCTGTGGCTGCTGTGTTCCTTGCCATCCCCTGGCTGGACTCTAAGCACCTACCTTTCAACATTGCAGGCATTTTGCACTTGCCAGGGTCCCAGAAGGATGTGCATGGCCCGGGAGTGCTAGAACACGTGGAGAAAATGAAACAGGACCTCCTATCAAAAGTAAAAGCACTGGGCAAAGAGCTACCTCTCAATACCTTGGATGAGCTGATTAATCACTTTGGGGGCCCGGAGTACGTGGCAGAGGTATGTCGTATTATGGTCGCCTGGCATTGGGCACTGCAGCTCAACCTGCTGTTCATGGCTCTAACCACTAGAGGGGGCCATAATGCCAGCCCTTGGAGAGGTTGAGTTGTGCTCCCAGCCCCACGGTTGGTTCACGTCTGAGCGGGCAGCCGCTGGCTAACATCGTAGCTCCTGGGGGCTAAGGCCATGTCTACACTACTGCTTACATCGGCAAAACGTATGTCGCTCGGGTGTGAAAAAACCACCCCCTTGAGCGACATCAGTTTCGCCGACCGAAGCGCTGGTGTCCACAGCTCTCCTGCTGACAGCTACTCCCTCATTGAAGGTGGTTAAATTATGTCAACGGGAGAGCTCTCCCCTGTCGGCACAGGGCAGCTCCGCGGGAGATCTTACAGCAACGCAGCTGCATTGGGATAGCTATAAGGTCTCTAGTGTAGACATGGCCTTAGTTCCTGACCGTGCCTGTCCAGTGTGTGATGGTGGGGTAGGAGGAGTTCCCTGAGGGATCCCCGCCCCTTTATGCTTTTTGCATTATCTTCCTCACCTTGAGACCCTGGGTTGTAACCCCCTTCTTCCCAATCCAGGACTGGCTGGGACTCCCTACTACTTATTTACTTGGCACTTCCTTACTGTGATCTTGGACTAGTTACTTCACTGCCTCAGTTTCCCTAATTGTAAAAAGTAGTCTCCGGGGCAAAAATTCCCTTCTGAAGCAGTTTATTACTCCAGGTCTGGCCAGTATAGACCCTTGCCCATGTGTCTGCCATAACATTTACTTCCCAAATGCTCCATTTCACCCTTGCGCCCCCACTCTGTCTGTCTCTCATTAATGACTTGTTTCTTCCCTGGCGGCCATGTAGATGACTGGCCGGAAAGGCCGGGTGGTGAGCAGACCTGACGGCTCCGTCATGTATGAGTCCCGGGCTGAGCAGGGCCTCTCCATAGACCACGTCAACCTGAAGGAGAAGGAGCGCTTTATGAGTGGGGAAAAGGTGAATGAGGCTCTGAACCAGAGACCCCTGCAGCTGCACACTGGAGAAGCTATGGATTGGCATAGTGCTTGTGGGCGGCTATCCCAGATGCATGATGGGACCTTGCAGTCACTACCTTGCCCCAGATGTGTGTGCCTGTCTCCGTCAGTCCCTTTGCGCTTCACCCCGGAAGCCTGGCACTTGACCATTCGCTTTCCAGAGGAGAGCTGGGCGTGACTGTAGAACCTAGAAATGCTGCTCTGGCAGTGGCCAGAGGGGGCATTGCAGAGTGTCCTGTGGGACTGCCTGCCCCAGGGTCTGAACACCCTGCTGGCCCTAGGATGGAGGCCAAGGATACAGATCTCTCACATGAGCTGGGCAGAGCACTAGACAGCTGTGCCAACCCCTCAGGCCCATAAAACGAATATGAATTGTGCTGGCTTGACCTGCTGGGAAGTGACACGGAGGCAGGGGGCCTTCTGTGGGTCAGGACGGACTGTGTCCTGGGATTTCTCTGGGCCTGCCCCTGAATGCTTTCCATGTAGCCGTTCTCCCAGATCTCTGAGAATACCATTGCATCTCCTCACTCCTGCTGTGTCTCTCTCAGCTCGTAGCAATAATCTCCGAGGCCTCCAGCTCAGGGATCTCTCTCCAAGCAGACAGGCGGGTGAGGAACCAGAAGCGCCGGGTCCACATGACACTGGAACTGCCCTGGAGTGCAGACCGAGCCATACAGCAGTTTGGTAAGCCCCGAACATCCTCAGTCACTTTCTCCCTCTGCTCATTGGCTATGGGGTGTAGTTCAGCCCTGTGATTTTCTAGCAGCCCTGCAAACGAAACACCCGCCTGGCCGCCTTCTGGAGCCACAGGGAGTCCAGTTGTGTTCAGTGGCACAAAGGGCTAGCCCCAGTAACATGGGGCTCGTGCAGCCTGCCAGGACCCGTCCAGACACAAGGCAGCTGTGATCAACTTTCCTTCAGCGAAAGATGCAGAGCTGCCTTGGGGTGGGGTGTAGTTGATAAAGGGGGAGGGGTAGCTTATCTGTGGGAGTAGAGCACTGGGCTGGTGCACTGACTGCTCCCCCCAGATCCTGTTCTGGGTCCCATCTTGGTACGTAGGGGACACTTGTCAATGCCAAAGAACCTTTGAACTGGAATAACTAGGGGTGCTGCCCATGTGTAGGGGGAAGTGAAGGGCTGGACTGGAGTGTCAGCTCATGGTGCAGCCGGGATTGGGATGCATCGGCGTGTGTGTAGCGTGTAGCGTGTAGCTAGCATGGCACCCGACCATGCTCTGTGCCTGGGGTGAAGCCAGCCTCTCCTCACAAGAGCAGTAGAGGAAATGAATGTACGACTCCACTTTAAAACTTGTGATTTTGTGACTGGCCACCCTGCTGTGATCCTGAAGAGGTCAGGGCAGCAGCCCTGCTCTGGCAGTGCCAGGTGGGAAGGTCTGGCAGCACAAAGCCGATGAGAGAAGCTATCTCCCCCCTCCCCAGAAGAGAAGCGTTGGGGTTGGTTTCAAGGCCGATAGGTGCTCTAAGGGAAGCTGCCTCGTTTGTCTGTGGTCCCCACTTCCTTCTCAGCAGCTGTTCCCATGATTGTGTCAGCTTCCACGTCATTCACCCCCATCTCTCTCCAGGTCGAACGCACCGATCGAACCAGGTCTCTGCTCCGGAGTACGTCTTCCTTATCTCTGAGCTGGCAGGGGAGAGAAGGTTCGCGTCCATCGTCGCGAAACGTTTGGAGAGCCTTGTAAGTGCCCCGGAGGATGGCTAGAAATAAAACCCAGGCTGGCTGTGAACATTTCCGAGTGACTCTGCGTCTGGGGCACCTCTGGTCCCAAATAGAACTCAGGCGAGGGATTGCGTCACCCTGGGCTGACGTGCAGCCACCTCTGCTGCGAAACGAGGAAGCTGTTTAACAGCCGGCAGAACGGGAAGTGAAGAATACTCTACGTAATTGAGATGGCAGGGGAATTTCGGGGAGGTAGATTGTAAATCGGGATGTTGGAATTTCCCAGCAGGCAGGAGTGAACACCCATTCTTTTCCAGGAAGGAAATAGACTCTTTAATGACCATAAGCCGTCATTACCTCAGTTCAGTGTTTCATCATTTCTAATGAGTATCTCTGAGTGTTAATATACTAGCACCTCGCTGTCTTCCCTTAGCATGTCTATGTACTGACTTCTGGTGAAACTTGCTCTACTTTTAAACCGTCCTTCCCTGATTATTTGCTCAAATTAAGGGAAAAACCTACATCTGAAAATATAGGTGGCGTGTAATCTAATCACTGTGTTTAGGTTGAACATGGTGTCTCACACGCCAGCCAGGTGGCACATGGTGCCTCAGATATCTGGAAGAAAAATGGCATTTTCCAGACACCAGAGCTGGCTTGTGATAATCTTCAACAATCCCGGCACACGCTGCTGAAGCTGATCAGATACAGCCCTCTGACATGGGGTCCCCTTAGGAGTCCGTCTTTAATCAGGGGTTCGCTGAGCTTTGTTATGGATGCAGTTGCTTTTCCCAGTGAGTCTCTTCCCCGACCTTTCTGAACAGGTTTGTGCTTTGTCTCTTCTTCCAGGGTGCCTTAACTCACGGAGATAGAAGAGCCACTGAATCCAGAGACCTCAGCAAGTACAACTTTGAGAATAAGGTGACCGTTAGCAATTCCGCGTGGTCGTTTAGCAAGCTTAAAATAACCAGCACACCCCTGTGGTAGGACACTGAGCATGACCAGAGCCAGTGCTGGGGTTGACAGGTCATGGCAGGTTAGGGATCTGCTCTTGTGAGCCCTGGGAACAAAGCTCTTGGTTTTGGCACAAAATACAAACCTACGGAGAGCATAATAAGAGAGCTTTCGAGACCTCAGTTCTCATACGGGGGGAGGGGTAGCTCAGTGGTTTGAGCGTTGGCCTGCTAAACCCAGGGTTGTGAGTTCAATCCTTGAGGGGGCCGTTTAGGGAACTGGGGTAAAAATCTGTCTGGGGATTGGTCCTGCTTTGAGCAGGGGGTTGGGCTAGATGACCTCCTGAGGTCCCTTCCAACCCTGAGATTCTACGATAACACCCTGCAGGAAGGAGAGAGGTGTATTCTGGTCTTATGTGCAGGGAAACTGAGGCAGAGATGCTGCTTGACTTGCCTACATGCACAAAGGGAATTTGGGTTCGGGCCAGGACCTCATCAGTTCCCAATAATAGTAATACCCAGCTCTTATGTAATGCTTTTCATCAGCAGATCTCAAAGCGTTTTCCAAGGGAGGTCAGTATTATCCCCATTTTACAGGTGGGGAAACTGAGGCACATACCAGGGGTGACTTGCCCAAGTTCACCCAGCAAACCAATAGTAGATCTAGGAAGAGAACCCAGGTTGCCTGAGTCCCAGACCAGTACCCCATCCACTAGGCACACTGCCTCTCCCTCCTGTGCTTAGGCCTTGCCTCTCATAGGGCTGGAAGAAGACTCACGGGTGAGACCAGCTACCTGACTTGGGTCTGTACCCGAACACATTAGTTATCCATCAGGTTCTTGAGGGACATGCCTCTGGTGGCTGCATCTACTTCAGCATCTGCCAGGATGTCTACGTGCTTCCCACTCATTGCTGGGAAAGCAGCATCCGAGATCCCTTCTCCACCCCTAAAGTGTGTAGTGAGATCAGAGGACAGAGCTGCTCCCCACCCCCATGTGACTGTTCTCTCCTTTCCACAGTACGGGACCAGAGCGCTAGACAGGGTCCTCACCACCATCCTCAACCAGACTAAGAGCAAAGTGCCTCTGCCCAAGTATTACCAGGAACGAGAGGATGAATTTTTTCAAGGTGAGAACATTAACTGGGGTTTCTACTTGAAAGTGCTTCTTGCTGGCTCAGGTAGTGTGTGGTAGGGATAGATCACTGGCAGGAAAGCTGGAGCGGGCACGCGGAGCCATTCATTTCCCTCCTCCTAGGGGGAGAAGACACCAAAGGGGCCAACAGCAGGCTGACGTGGACAGCTAGAGACAGAGGTGGGGAGAGGGGCAGCACTCTATGGTAAGCAGGGCAGTAGGGTGAGCCAGGTGGCAGTGCCCATCCCCAGGCGTGGGAGAATGCAGAGGTGGGATCTTTTCTTACTGGGGTGTCACAGTTCAGGGCAACTGCGCTTGTATTTCCCCCTTGTGGGCCAGTAAAGGCACCCACTTTAAGCTCTTGGGTGGAAACTCGTGCCTCTCTCCCTCCTGACCGGGATATGTCCAAGCTGCATAGTTTCCTGCCTACACTGTGAATTCCCCAGCAAGTCAGACTGCCTATTCAGGCCTGCTTTGCCTTCCCCTGAGAGGCTATAAACAGCGTAATGGCCCACGGTTAGCAAATACCACCTCGCCTTTTCTGAGCAAGCACATTTATCCTCAAGGTGAAAGCACAACAGAGAAAATCATTAGCGTGGCAAAAGAACTTGTCTGCCTGCTAATAAGCTTACCAGAGATCACCCCAACTCCCACTGGTAGGAGTCAGTCCTTCCAGCCCCACACGCGGGATTTTCAAGTCCATAACAGCTGTTAGTTTGGAACAAGCACACAGACTGCACAGATCAGCCTGTTCCTTTATGCGGCTTGGGCCTTTGCGCTTGTCCTCATGTAACAGGTGATCTGCAGACAATGGCTGTCTCCTCGGGGGGTAGCATCAAAAGGGCCAGGCTTTTGCACAGCCAGGGGGTGGGAAACCCACGGTACTTGTTTGCCACAGTTCATTCTTGTCTGGCACATTTGTTTCCAATAGTCCTTTGACGCTCCTGACACTTCCCAGGGTTTACCTCGGTCACGGCTCCCCCCAGAGAAGTTACTTACCGTCCCACCGTAATACATCACATCGCATTTTTAATACAAGGGACTCCAAAACTACGTCACCTTAATTCAATAAGGCTTTGCCAGGAGATTGTCCTCTCTGTCATCGGGGGAGTGGCCATCTTAGCAAGCAGGGGAAGCAGCCCTGTAGCAGGACTGCTGAGATGAGGGACTTCGTGGCATTGGGGTGGAGGCCACACCACAGCTCACAACCTTCAAGGCATGTGCTTCCCCTTCTGTCATTCTAGAAATGAAACACGGTCTCGTCTCGGTCGGGATCTGCTGCAAGGAGATGAAATACGGCTACGTAACGGTGGAGAAGGGTAAGCCTGGAATCTCCTCCCCGCCCTGTGGAGGGACAGGCTAAGGGACAACGCTAAGTTACCGTAGCACACGTTTGCTGCCGTCCTCCTGGCGCACGTCAGACTTGTCCGGTAGCCGGCGCGGGACACAGCACTTGGGAAGCCAGAGGGAAGCGCTGCAGGTGTTTGGCCAGCAGAAGCAGAGCATCTTTGCCAGTCCTTGGTCTGCGAGGCCCAGCCTGACTACCAGCCAAGCTCTGGGGGCTCTGGGAGTGTTGGCTTCCAATGGGTCCCCCTGCCAGCTCTCCTGGAGAAAGCAGAGGTGCTCCCCTGCTCTCTGGGATGCTGGGGGGAGGGGGAGTTGTCACTGAGCTGCATAGATTCCCTACCCTGAGCTGTGCTCTCCGTTGCAGACTGCTCCATAACCAAGTTCCTGAATCGCATCCTGGGCCTGGAGGTGCACAAGCAGAACATGCTCTTCCAGTACTTCACAGACACCTTCGACCACCTGATTGAGAAGGACAAGAAGGAGGGCAAATACGACATGGGCATCTTAGGTAGGAGAAGGGAGAGGGGCGGGGGGAACTCCTCCCTGCTGGGAGCCCGCTGGTGTCATGTCTCCCGCTGCTGCATCCTTCAAACCCAGGCCCTTCTTCAATGGCCAGCGGCTTTCTGTGCCGGATGCTGGGTGTGGCTGGGCTGCCTACACTCTGTGCATCCTACGCTCCCGTTAGCTCTTGACCTGGTCTGGGCTTCACACTCTGGCGACCCCGCCCCCTGCTGGGCGTTCAGACCTGGAGAAGCTGGTGCCCTTCCATGCTAGGCCAGCACCCATCAGGAGAGCGGGATTCAAACCCCCGCCTGGGCTTTCGAGTGCTAGGAGCTTGCCCCTGTGCCTCAGCCTATGGGGTGAGTTGCTGGGAGAAGATGGTAGTGCCGTGACCCCACTGGCTCATCCAGGGGAAGGGAGCAGTGCTCTGAAGGGCTCCGTGCCTGCCCTAAGCTGGAGAGGATGGGTGGTGGAGGGGAAGGTGGGGGCCCTGGCTGGTGATAAGCCTGCACTGGGTGCTGTCTCACAGGAAGGATGCTCGGGACGGGCTTGGGGGAACGGCATCCCCAGGTTGACGGCCCAGGACGCTCTGGTGCCCAGACCTTGGTGGGTCTTCTACAGCAGGACAAACCCCAAGAGAAGCGCAGGCTGCAGGGCAGCTGAGGGGCTGTGGGATTAGGGACTCTCAGCTTCCCCTAATAACCCCCCAGCTGCAGGGCCCGGGCCTGATCCCTGCCCTGCAATGAACGTGAGGGAGTTGTTGCACCACAAGGGTTGGCTGAACCCAGTGCAGAGCTCCCAGGGGGCGGGGCTGGGAAGCCCAGGAGTCAATGGAGATGGCCAGGCTGCGACGTGGAGCTCTGCCACTCACCAGAGGTCTAAGGGCTGTTTCTTTCTGCTGCCTCCACAGACTTAGCCCCCGGCGTGGATGAGATTTACGAGGAGAGCAAGGAGGTTTTCCTGACCCCAGGGCATCCCCAGGACGGGCAGGTGGTTTTCTATGAGGTAAGGGGCTAGATAAGATCTCTGCCAGGGCAGCCCTGCCCATGGGTACCCAGAGCACATCGCCACTCTTGGGCAGCTCTCGCTCCGGCTGTTGTTCCTGGCCTGGATCTTGGTCCTCCTGGTCCAGGTGTAGGCTGCGCAGCCGCAGGAAGGAGACTGTGTCCCGCACGCCGGTATTGAAGTGGTGTCAGGAGACCCCGATCAGGGCCTCTTGTGCTAGGCGCTGTACACAGGAGCCAAGGAGAGTCTCTGCCCATCAGCTCATCCCCATCCTAGCACATGGGTACTTCAGCAGCCAAAGTGTCCTCTTCCCTGTTTGGGCACGGGGGGCACCTTGCCCAGCCCCAGTTCCCTGAGCTGAGCGAGCTGGCAGGCATTCTTGCTGGTTCTCCAGCATGGCACTTCCCGGACGCTCCCGTCCCATGGGGCATGTTTTGGCAGAGATCTTGGTACCGCTCTGCCCACCCACTCACCTTTACACAGTGTCTGGGCTTCACACTCTCCTGCCTTTCCTCCTGCCAGAGCGGCTGTGGTCTGTGCCGCGTGTGCCTAGTTGTAGTTGCTACACTGCAGCCAGTGCTTCCCCCGGTTACTCTACCATGGAATGATGGGGACGGGAAGCGGGGCGAATGCAGGGTCTGCTCATCTTTAGGCTAAGGAGAGAGAGTGTGAGTGTGTGTGTGTGTGTGTGAGAGAGAGAGAAAGGGGGGGGACGCTCCGACACCTGCCATCCATAAAACACGAGGGTTCTCATTTGTCCTGTTAGATCAGCGTCGACAGAGGCCTGAAGTGGGAGGAGGCCTACGAGAAATCGCTCAAACTGACAGGCACCTACGACGGCTTCTACCTCTCCCACAAGGTGAACTCCCCAGCGCCACCAGGGCTGCTGCCCCACACGTCTGAGATGGGCTCCAGCGGGGGCGTCTGGTTGTTGGCAGGCAGCAAGAGGCCAGTGGCAACGATCGATGCCTCGCTGACCGGTCACCAGGGGCCCAGAGAAGCCTCTGAGGAGCTGCAGTTTCATTTTGCCCAGCACAGGAGGGGGGTTGACTTCAAAAGGCCGAGGGTGGGGGAGGAGGGAGATTGTAATGGGAGTAACAAAAAGATCCTTGTTCCTGGAGCCATCTCCACTCGGCCAGCACGTTCCCCGCCATGGAGT